CTACTAAGAGATTGGGCTGCACAGTTCACTCTACTAAGGTAGGATATGTGAGTCTGAGAAATAATACTTTGGAAGCTACTTCAGGAGTGGTGAGAAACTTTGAATGGATCCTGCAGGGTACTACCTTCAATTCTGATTTGATTGTGTTTCCAGTAGGTAAGTATGACTCGGTATTAGGTGATTTATGGATGAAGACCTTGGGGCATGTCACTATGGACTATTGTGACCTCATTATGACATTCAACTGCCAAGGCAAGTTCCATTTATTGAAAGGTTTCATTGATGAATGTAAGATGCTCAATTCTAAAGGAATAGGTAAACTAAAAAGTGAGGAGGTCCAACTCTTCATGTCACATGTGGTCACAGCTCAGCCTACATCAACAAATAGCAGTCAACTTAATGCTCTTCATTTAGCTAATAAGCATAGTATTCCAGCTCCTCTCGAGCACGGAGCACCTACATAGAAGGTACTCTCAGATCTTTGATGAGCCTACTTCACTACCTCCTATCTAGGTTCCATTTGATCATCAGATACCCTTGCAATCAGGGGCTAAAGTTGTTAACATTAGGCCCTACAGGTATTCAGCCATGAAGAAAGACATTATAGCAAAGCATGTTCAAGAAATGCTACAATATGGGATCATTCAATACATCAACAGTCCCTTCTTTTCTCTGTGGTCCTTGTAGGCAAAAAAGATGGGTCTTGAAGGCTATGTGTAAAGTATAGGGAATTGAATCAGTGTACTATCAAGGACAAATTTCCTATCCCAATCATAGATGACTTACTAGATGAATTGGCAGGTGCAATAATTTTCTCTAAAATAGACTTGAGGTCTGGCTATCACCAGATTAGAATAGTGAAGGAGGACATTCCAAAAACAGCTTTCAAAACACACATGGGCCAATATGAATACTTGATAATGCCATTTGGGCTAACCAATGCTCCCTCGACCTTCCAGTGCTTAATGAATCACATTTCTTAAGAAAATTTGTCCTGGTATTCTTTGATGATATTCTAATATACAGTAGCAACTTGCAAGATCATGTTATGCATCTCCAACAGGTCTTTGATACCATGGTACAACACAGCCTGTTGGCCAAACAATCCAAGTGTACTTTGGAAGTTTCTAGGGTAGAATACTTAAGTCATTTCATCTCTGTTGAAGGTGTTTCTACTAATCCTAAAAAGATTGGTATAGTGCAGCAATGGCCTACTCCAGCAGTGTTAACAATTGAGAGGCTTCCTTGGGTTGGCTAGCTACTACATGAAGTTTATTAAAGGGTATAGACTCATTACTAAACCCTTAACTGAGCTGCTCAAAAAGGATAATTTCCATTGGTTAGAAGTTGTAGAACAGGCTTTCAAGGAACTAAAGATTGCTCTCACTTCTGCTCCTGTCTTGGCTTTACCTAATTATAGCATTCCATTTGTAGCAGAAACAGATGCAAGTGGTAGAGGTATTGGAACTATCCTTAAGCAGAATGATTATCCAATTGCCTTTATCAGTAAAGGACTTGCCCTAGGCACATCATTCTCTCAATTTATAAAAAGGAGTTATTGGCCTTAGTCTTTGTAGTGACTAAGTGGTCACACTATCTCCTAGGACAGCATTTTATTGTACGGACTGATCAAAAAGCTCTTAAGTATCTCTTGGAGCAGAAGCTAAATACTGATTCTCAAATCAGATGGCTAGCCAAACTTCTGCCATTTGACTTTGAAATCAAGTGCAACAAGGGCAAGGAAAATGTGGCAGTTGATTCACTATCTAAGGTCCCATGTGCTGAGCTTATGACCTTGATGATATCTGCAGTACATGAAAATTTATGGAAGGAAATTAAAGGCAGCTGAAACACTAATCCTGAGCTGCAAGCTCTCATCAGCACCTTACAGACTGCACCTCTAAAACATTACACTAGGCTTAATAACCAACTCAGGAGAAAGGGCAAGTTTGTTATTGGTAATGACAACACTTTGAGGACTAAGATCCTGACCTTATGGCACTCTACCCCAGCTGGAGGACACTCAGGCATTGATGCTACTACCCGAAAGGTCCTAGCTTACTTTTATTGGAAAGGAATCAGAAATGATATCCTTAATTTTGTCCACAAATGTTCAGTTTGCCAAAGGAACAAGTATGGCACCAGTGCTTACCCTGGCCTTTTGGAACTTTTGCTTATTCCTTCCCTACCTTGGACTGATATTAATATGGATTTCATTGAAGAAGTACCCAAGTCTAAGAGCATAACTGTTATTTGGGTTTGTGGATAGGTTAACTAAATATGGTTATTTCATTGCCCTAAATCATCCTTACTCTATGCAATCATTGGTGCCTATATTCTTGGATCATATCTATAAGCTTCATGGCTTTCCTGCCACAATCACCAGTGATAGGGATCCCATTTTCATTAGCTCTTTTTGGCAAGAATTCATGTCAGTCCATGGTGTTACATTGCAGACTTCCACTGCTCATCATCCTCAAACTGATGGGCAAACGGAGGTCCACAATAGAGGTTTGGAGACCTATCTACGATGCTTCTGTGGAGACAATCTCTCTGATTGGTCCTTTTTCCTACCCTTAGGAGAATGGTGGTATAATTCTAGCACTCATTCTACCGTTCAAACTTCCTCTTTTGAGTTGCTATATGGCTATCCTCCTCCATTGCATCTGTCGTATTTTCCTGGTTATTTCTCCTTAGATTCTATTGAAGAAATTGCCTTGCTCAGGGAATTTAAATTACAACTAGCAAAGTTTCATTTGGCTAGAGCACAATATAGGATGCAAAGCCAGGCCAATGCTCACAGAACTGATAAATAGTTTGCTATTGGTGATTGAGTTTTGTTAAACTACAACCCTACAGGCAGTCTACCTTATCTATTTCTCCATACTACAAGCTTACCTTCAAATATTTTGATCCTTATCCAATTGTGGAAAGAGTTGGCTATGTTGCCTACAAACTACTCTTACCTAAGTCCAAATACACCTTCCATATTTCCCAACTTAAATTCTGCTATGACATTCCTTCTGAAATCATTCACCCCCTATCATTAATCTTTCCAATCCCTTATAACCATTCCTTGAAGCTATACTTGCCAGAAGACTTATCAAAAAAGGCAACAAGGTTGTTGCTCAATGTTTGGTCAAATGGAAGGATCTGGACAGTTCATATGCAATATGGGAAGTTGTCGTTGCTTTGAAGACCAAATTTCCTTCTTTCACCCTTGAGGATAAGGGTGTTGCTCATTGGGGGTATTGATACACAAATAACAACCGCAAGTGATATGGATAATTGATTGGGCCGCTGACTAGACAAATTCAAACGGCAGCTAGGCCTCTTCTTTCACATTTTAGTTTGGCAGGAAAGTTAGATAAGAGAGTCACACTTTATGCACTTGTTATCACGAATACCTTTCAATTGTCATTTAGTATACGTAGAAGGATTGTAATAGAGACCTTATGCAATTATCATAATACAATTCTGATTTCTCACTTGTGAGTCTCCTTTCTTCTTTCTTTTTTTTTCTCTTATTTCAAATCACTGCTCCATTGCTCAACTTGATAGCAATTTGGTATCACGCTTCGAATTAATTGATCTTGTCAAAGCAAGTAAGATTTGTTGGTATGTTCAGATTGGGTCTCAAGGGACTCGTGTGAGTTTCAAATAGATTTGAGTTATATTACGCTTGTTTTTTTATGTTTCGATGTTGTTTCTTCAAATATAAATAGTACCAAATTAAGCAAATAAGCTCCAATTTCTATTTTGATTGAATCATTAGATCTGTATCACAATTACAAAGTCAGAGAAAAAAAGAATTGTATGAGGAATTTATGATCATTTTACTAAGAATAAAGTCATTGTCCAAAGAAGGCTTAGAATTAGGTATGACAAACGAGCGTGTCAAGTCGGATATGAGCGGGTCAAAAGGGCCAATTCAAAAAACAAATAAACTACCCGACCCGATCCATATTTGAAATGGATAAAAAATTATGGAAAATTTTCTATATGAAGAATTATTCGATAGTCTTCTTGAATTATGGATAAATTATTCGATAGTCTTCTTGAATATGAAGAATTATGGAAAACTTTCTAGTATCACAAAACTTGAGGAACCCCCATTTAAGACTTTACAAATATAAAAGTTAAACAAATTAATTATCCATTAGTTATTCATTTGATTAACTATTTTCTAAATGAAAAATATGATTCTTATCCATATTCGACCCATTTTTAAAAGTTCATTATCCAACTCATTTTCTAATGAATAATATGGGTGAATAACGATTGTCTTTTAACCATTTTCCACCTCTCCTTAGAATCAACAAAATGCATAAAATCATACCCTTTGAACAAGGATTACCATTGTGTATGCCATGAAAAATAATTGTTTGTGGTGAGTTTTAAAGGGATCTGAGTAGTAGCATTTAAACTAATGAGTGGAGTACTTGGTAAAAGGTTAAGAGGATCAATTAATAAAGGGATTGTGGTTGTTGGATTAGGGTGATAAAGAGCAGGTGTCACTGCTGGTGTTGAATTCCCTATTGTGGTTTCTGTCATGATAAAAAAGATAATTACAATAACGTCATGAGGCTTGGAAGCTCTGACGACATAATAAGCTTTGTATTGCAATCAAAATGAATTGCATTACACTATTGGTACAAAGTGATATTTATATACAAGGAATATAATGTTAACATAGTGTGAGAATGAAAAGCGTATATTGGCAAGCCACAAATTTGGTGGCTTAACCAAAGGAGGATCTTTTGGCATGATCTGCAAAATATGTTTTTCCTTAGTGAATTGATTTGCTGAATCACTTATTTCCTTACACAATTTCCTTATGAAAATCAACAGGAATAATTTACTGCACCATTTGTTCGTTCAATTAAGTTAAAAAACACCTTTTATGCCAATAAGTTTGTATTTAATTCAATAACGTGTAGCCACAAATAGATAGCCAAAAAGCAAAGGGAGAAAAAAACATGAGCTAAAAGAGGGAGAAAGCTGCTCAGAATTTGCAATCAATTAATCATGAACAATTTTCATAAGTCCAGACATAATTTTAGCAAGATCATCACTGCAAGCTGATGAAATGAGTAACTAAAGACATTTATATAGAAGAAAAAAGGCACGGCAGCCAGAGAAATTACAACCTCAAAAGAAACTACTTAATTAGAATAGCTATAGCTCTCAGAGAAATTCCATGAAAGGAAATTATGCAGACATTCAACACGGCATCAGGTTCTGACCGCCCGTCTGCTTTTCTCTCATCAAAGAGCAATAATTAAGAATTTACCCATTACGACTAAAAATTCTCTGACAAATACCAAACGAATTTAAGTATATGAACAACTACAAAAAGAAATTGATGGCATCAGATAATAAGCGGAGTTTATAATCCACATGATTATTCAGTGTAAACAAAAGTATCATCATTTGCCATGTAACAGAGCCATCAAATTATCAAATAAAACAGAGGGGAAAAATAAAAATATCGGAAGGTCCATTTGACCCCAAAGCAATGGAGTATAAAGTGCAATGGGCTGGTAAGCCAACCTTTTCAGTTTATGCATCAGCTATAACTCCTTATACATACAGCAAATCTGCTGGCACAAGAAGAGGGTAAATCCGATGCAAATACCATAAAGACTAAACAGCATTTTTGAGAAGCAATAGACAAATAGAATCAAAGAGATACCAGAATAAAGGCTAGGTTTTTTCTTTCTTTCTTTTTACCCTTTGATGGACTGATATTGGAAAAACGGCTAGGGTTGGGCTTATATAGGGTTTTGAGAATGCTAGGGTTTTGATTCTTTGGAAAAAAACGCTATAGTGGGCGAGCCGGATTTTATTTTATTTTTTCTCTATTTGATGCGTGGTGAGCAAAGACAAATACTCAATTCGTTCACTTTTATTTGTCCATTGTTAAATTTTGCACGCTTTTTAAAAAATAATAAATAAAATACATAATTTATCATAATACACATATTAATTGATACATATTTTTAATAAATTTAAGAAAATAATTTCAAATAGGTGATTAATATTATAGATATAATAGGAAAAAAAACTTCTTCTCCTAATATACTAAAAGTGATAACTAAAAATGAAAATCTATTTTTAAAATAATAAATAAATAAGTGTACGGAGGAAGTACAAAAGTACATTTACATAGTTTATAGTACTATAAATAAATACATTTTCAAAGCTATTGTTTATTTTTTATTATTTACGCAAAGCATCCAATACATTTTCAAAAGACATACTCCCTCTGTTCCAATTTATGTGAACCTATTTTCTTTTTGGTCCGTTCTAAAAATAATGACCCCTTTCTAAATTTGGTAATAATTTAGCTTAAACTTATTATACTCTTAATGAAAAGCTTTTATAACCACACAAATACTCTGAGCCACTTTTTGACTTGTTTAGGATCATAAATTCCAAAAATCTTCATTTTTTCTTAAACTCTGTGCCCAGTCAAATAGGTTCACATAAATTGAAACGGATGGAGTATAACTACCATGCTTTTTTGCGAAGGAACTAAAAGTAATTTTACATAAATGCATTTTCAAGATTTTGAACAAAACGTACTTCCGCGAATAATTTTAAGCTTCAATTTCATGTTAATCTTATGGGCTTACACATTGAATCAAGTTGAGCTAGTCTTCCATGTTTTTTGTTTTTTTTAGAAATTTTCATAAAGCACTATTTTTTAGTGGTAATTAGCTATCTATAGATATCATTTGCTATATTACGGATTGTAGATACGTTTTCTATTGTTATAAGATGTATTTAAGCTGTTGTATTCATGAATACAGTAGCAAAAATAGACGTGAATCAGGGAAGTCCAGCTAATCACTTGTTGTATTCGAGTGTATTCGACTGTATTCATGGCGTAAAACATGGGATTACAGCTGGACAGATTATTATATTCGATTGTATTCAACTATATTCACGGCGTGAAACGGGGAATTACACTGTTTTTAAACGGAAAGTGAATCAATTAACATAATAGACTCCTAATATAACTCAACAAACTCAATTATAACACACAAAATTTGTATTTCCAGTTATAAAAAAAATTCTTAACCGAAAAATACCCCAAAAACATAGCAATCTTCAGAGAAATTATATAATACATCTAAATAGATAAATTATATTAATTAAAAAAATATATGAATAAATCTTCAGACCAGAAGGGTTGTTCTGATGGTAAGCAACCTCCACTTCCAATCAAGAGGTTGTGAGTTCGAGTCTACCCAAGAGCAAGGTGGGAAGTTCTTGGAGGGAAAGATGTTGAGGGTCTATTTGGAAACAGCCTCTCTACCCCAGGGTAGGGGTAAGGTCTGCGTACACACTACCCTCCCCAGACCCCACTAAGTGGGATTATACTTGGTTGTTGTTGTTGTTGTTGTTGTAAAAAAATATATGAATACATTTATGGAATATAGCGATACAGTGAATACGATGAAATACATAGAATACAGCAGGATACATTGAAATACAATGAAAAAAATACAATGAATACAATGAAATACATAGAATATAACAAGATACATTGAAATACAATGAAGAAAAGACAATGATTACAATAAAATACAGTGAAATACATTGAAATATATTAACAGAAAATTCAAGTTGCTTAGCCCCAACTCCGTCGTCTTTGTTCAAGAACAACCCTAATGTCGTCTCGTTGAAGCAACATTGTTGACGACATTGTCGTCTCGTTCAAGAACAATTGTCTCATCTGCAAGTCCACAACATTGTTGACGAAAGGAAAGGATTTGTGAAAGCAAGCAATAGATGGTCACTGGATCTATCATTAAAAAGAATTATGATTTTTGTTTTCTTGCTAAGTATTTATTTGTATTCCTGAAACTGTACTATATTTTTGTACATACTCGGCAGGGTATGGCGAATGGTCAACCTGTCCAGAAACATCTTTATTGGCGCTATCTCTATTGCCTCAAATTGTACAGAAACCTCTAACTTTTGTCTGTCGCCTGAAGCTGTACAAAGGATATGAGATCGGGAAGCAAAGAGAGTGAGAATAGATATGGAGTAGGGAATAGGAGAAATTTGAGGGGATATGAGAGAGAAAAATAATACAAAGCTTATTTTATGGTTTAAGGATAGGAGGTGACCATAAATAAATATTTGGCTATAAAAAATCAAAAGGTAGCTATAAAATATAATTTTTTAAAATGGTATTTGTGTAAAATAAATAAGGTATCAACCTTTGCTATAGAAGGTAACTAATCTTTTTTTTCTCATCCGGTATCCGATACTCACATTGGGGCCCGACTAATTCTGGATTCTCGCCACATTGCGGGTAAAGCGCTACCTAACAAAGGCGACTCTATAACCAGGATCTCGAACCACGACACCTCTGGTTAAGGATGAAAAAATACTTATCACTCCATTCCATGGTGAACTCAAACAACCTCACTAATACAATATACAAGTATATAACACAAAGCCGAGCTGAATCCGAGCCTTTTTGGTTCAGGGGACTTTGCCCAAGTTATAGTATATCAAATTTATCTTGAATCAACTCTTTAATTTTCAGTTGATTTTGGGAGATGAGGGTTTAGAAAATTTTCTGTTAAAATGAGGATACATATAACAATGTTCTCATTACATTAGTATAGTTTATCACTTTTTCACAAGCCTTAGATTTCCTATATATGGTCCAGTACTATAGTACTATAAGATTTACTTTCATCGATCCCATACAAGTCAATGTAGAAGTAGATCTTTATGGTTTGAAGAAAATGGATAAAATGTGATGCAAGAAGCATATTAGGGGGGAGATATTAAAAGCAAAAGGATGCTTGTAAGTTCAAAAAATAAAAAAAGTTGAACAGAGAAAGTCCAACAACTAAGTAAACCTCTGAGTTACCAGTGGGTCAATATAACTCTAATATAACATGGTAATGCTACCAGACGAAAGTGCAGTCTGGTGCACTAAGCTCCTGCTATGCGCAAGATCAGGAAAAGGCTCGGACTATAAGGGCCTATTGTACGCAGCCTTACCCTGCATTTATACAAAAGGCTATTTCTACGGCTTGAACTCGTGACCTCCTGATAACATGTCAGCAACTTTACCAGTTACGCCAAGGCTCCCTTCGGAAAAGCAAAAATTTGAAAAGCTTAATCAGAATAGGGGAAAAAAAGGTACCAAATTAAACAATCTAGTAATTATGTGATAGAGAGAGAGGGAGACTCCTAAGTGAGTGCATGAGTTAAAAACTAAAAATAAATATACACCTGAAATCTTCTTGACAAGAAAAGAAAAAGATCTAGCCTATATATATACAAGGAAAATTTTCACATCAGCAACCCATTCCTTGCTCTTCAAATTCAGCAGGAGGCAAGAAGCAGTCCATTGGCAAATCAGATATATTGAAATCAATCTCTTCAATCATCCAAGTCTCCTCAATCTTTGCTCTATAGTCTATGTTCTTTCCATATCTGTAAATTGTTGCTGCAGTCTTCCCACTGTGAGCAATGTTGATACCTTCAATATATCTATAATCTTCAAGCATAGATTCCATACTTGTTTCCCAAAAGACATTGCTATCCCCCTTTGGTGACTTCAATCTTACTAATTTTGTGTCTTCAAATTGAATCAGAAGCCCTGTCCTTTGGCTGAAGTATCCCAATATTGTGTGATGGACAACTTCTGTATTTGCCGTACTTTGTGCCTTGAGCATGTCTATGCTTGATTCTAGTTTTAAAATAAAACATTCTTCATCCTTAATAGTCTTTTCTCCAACGCAAATAGCATTCAAGAACAAATTGGCCGTTGATCTAGGGTCCAAGCCCTGTTCATCAAAATACATAAACTCGCATTTGAATGACCCTTAAAGTCAATTTAAGCAGTTGGATGAGCATGCAAAAAGTCATGAATATGTATTAGAAGATACATGATTTATTTTGCCATCAAAATTATGCATGCATTCTAGGTAAGCAACCGAAATATATTAAAGAATTCTCATTTCATTGCATTTGGTTGTACCAACTATGTCTCCATTCTGTTGAAGCAAAGACTATAGGCATGATTTAATTACAGAAATGCTGTGTATGTAACACTTTCATCAGCAAAAGGATACCTGGAAAAACCTTCTAAGGGGTCTTGGAGGACCTTTTGAAGCACTAGAAGTAGAGGAAGACTGACTCCAAGCAACCTTCCCATTACTTCCTGCACTTATCTTGCAACCTGAAACAACCAATTCTAAAACCCACAGGTCAGGGTTCTTCTGCCAAAGCACAAAGGCTCCAACCTCACAATGGCGTTTCGAGTTGGCGTCACCACCACTTTGATGGATGTCCCATGTAGCCATCTTCACCTGCCCTACTGCACACATGCTATTTAGCGAATTTAACGCCGCCTGCCCTCCACATGCTGCCAAATATTGTTGTACTATGTATTTAGCAGTAGCAGCCTCCTGATGACCATAACGTACGAGTTATGAGTTCAACATATATAGTTTTTCAAACTGAAATCTAAATCAGTTAAAACATTTTCTTTTGTCTTTTTTCCTTGAACCTTATTCATATCTAAGGAGTTGAACAAGAGCATCTGGCCAGGGCAAAATTTTAGATACAAGTACAAAACAAGAAAATGGTAGCAGCACTGAAAATAGGAACTAGACATTGTTTCTCTAAAACTCTTGAAACAACAAATACAGTTTACATTTTTAAAGCCTGTAATTGTCAATATTTGGAGAATGGTTTACCAAAAATAACAAGTTATATTGCTAGATTTTATCCAATTTTAAGATTTAATCGCATTCAAGAATGTTCAATAAGAAAAGGAAACAAGGAATAGAGTGCTTACCATTGAACCATTCCTAACAGGCATGTTATCAGCAATATGGTCCAATTGAACTTGAAAAGGGACAAGAGCAGAGCCAACGATTTTAAACAAGAACATGAATTGATCATTACTTGATACAGCGGCATGATGAGAAGAAGAAGAATATCTGTCTGCACTTTGAGCCCTCATAAGATTGCGCATATTCCGCCATTGTAAGGCACCATTGCTACCCATATTGTTAAACATCTCCTCTGGTATGGGGACCTCCAAAACTGTCTCCAACCCATCTGCCTTGTCCAAATTTGGACACAATGTTCTCATGGGATGAATAACCCTCTATGGGATTAATCTTGAATTTTCTTTGGGATTTTTGTTATGGAAACCAAGAAAGAAAGATTATTAGTACTACATAAAAGAAAGAGGAAGTTTGCAGGAAATCATCAAACCTGCAAGAATTAAAAAAAAAAGGTCTTCCTCTTTCCTTGCTACGTGGGTGTTTCGTGTTTGGACGAAGAGCTGGTGATTTTTGTTGAGAAGGAAGGAAAGGAGAGGTGGGCCTCTACCTTCTCTGCCATAGGTCTTCCTTGGTCGTAGCAATCGTGTGGGCACGATTTTGGCGGGGAATATTACTTTCGGGAAATGATCAAAACTATCGTTATTGTTTGGTAAACTGTTTACATTTACAAAACATATTAACACGTTATTTTTATTAATAAAATTACCCCTAAGCTTAACCGCGGTAGAGGAGCCCACTTTTAATGCGATGGCAGCATTTTATGGGGGCAACGTGGCTCCGGGTTTCACATTATACGTATGGGTATACTATACCCGCCCTATTTATTTGACACTGCCCCAAAAATTTTGGTCAATTAATTTTTTGTACTTTACAAACTTGTTTTTAGTTTTATGACCTTACCTTTTTTCATATATAAGATATTTACTTTTACATGTAAGAGATTTGCCTTTTACACATAAGAGATCTAAAAAAGACATTTTTTTAAATTCAAAATTGTAAAGGGACATGATGTACAGGCACAAGATTTTCTAACACCCAACACACTTTCTGGACTTCTGATATACAGTCTAAAAATATGAAATCTATCAAATTTCCTTAAATTATCAAATTTTAAATAGATTCCTCTTCTACCCCCGATTCTGTTTTTTTTCCTTAATTTATTTTCATCTAACTTTGTTCTTCCTTGACCACATAAAATTCGATTCATAGGTTGAAAGTAGATGAACTTATCACCAAAACCAACCCTCTCCTCCTTATGTGATAGTATATGCCAAGAGCCCAAGGAGAAAGACATTCACCAAACTCATTCCTAGTAAACACCCATTTGCTCTTTTTTCATTTTCTATTTTTGCGATCCATTTAATTAGTTGTGTTTGTGATACACAATTAAACACGCTATATTTGGTTTTAACAACTAGTGGCAAAGCTCTGCGTAATGAAGGGTTCAATTGATTCTTTTCAGTTGAAAAATTATTTTATTACGTAAAAAACTATTTCATTTAACCGCTAACCTTTCTCGGCTAAGAATCTAATATCTTTCTATTATGGTTCACAACTTCACATTATCAAAAAGGCTCAATAACATTTCAATTCTAACTAACATGGTAAATCGAATTTATTTTATATCCTTCGGCCGAGACTACTATCGCTAATAATATTAAGTTTATGTGGAAAAGAAAAAAAATCGAATGAATAAGTTTTCTAAATAATGTAGTAATCCATAGCACATTTAACGTAGGAGGGTGTTTGGCTAAACTTATAAGCCGGTCAAATTGGTTTATAAACACTTTTTGATTTATCTATGTGTTTGGCAAATATCAAAAGTGCTTATAAGTTAAAATAAGTCAAAAATCATAAGCTGATAACAGCTAGGCTAGCTTATAATTTTTAATTTTATAAGCATTTTTGGTTTGACCAAACACTTTTACCATTTTATCATAAAACACCATTCCTAAACACAACTTCGGCGTCCCTCTATTCATATCCATGACCTTGACTTTATTCCGTCACCCATTTGTCGAGACCAGGAATACTTCTGTCACCTCCTCAACCATTAACAGTAATATGAATTTTCTTGCCATTAACAGGAAATCTCCTTTATTTGTTAACAATTCTTTTGCAAATTTTGTGTGCCAGAGAAAAAAAAAATTGGTAAGTTCCTAAGTTTTCCAAATACATAACCAGCCCCTTAAACTTGTCTCATATTTTCTTTTGAACATTTGAACTTAGGCTAGTACCTATTGAACACCTAAACTCTACTAAAAATGTTTCAATTAGACACATTTTTTACTGAAGTGGTAAGAAATCCAATGAGATATCGATACGTGGATTTGAATCCCAATTAATAAGAGAAAATTGAGGGAAATAAATAAAAAGCTATGTTCCTCAAACCGGGAACGGTTGCTATGGCCTCCTCCCCTTCGCTCGAAATATTCAATCAACTCAAGATGATGCATCAAGACAAAAAAAAATATTTTAACATCTGGGCATAACTTTTAGAAAAGCCAGATGAAATCTTCACTAGGAACCTGCAACCGAGCAAGAAAGAAACTTTTAATTAAAACTAAGAAAGCAAAGCATCAAGAAATAATTTTCGTGGAGAAAGCAGAGAAATCATGAGCTTTGAATGCTTAAATTAAGTTGGTTTTGTGGTGGCAAAAAAGAAATAAAGCTGGAAAGTGAAAAAAGATTGATTTTTTCTTTCGAAGTCGGGAGAGCGATTCAGATCTAAAACAACTTTAAACTGAGAAAGATAGGAAACGGAGATGATGAATTTGAGGAACCAATCTCTAATTGTTGTTCCTCCAAAAAATTTCAGCAAAATTGCAGCTGATTGTTGTGTTGTTGGAAGTGGGTATAGATTAGCAAAGCCAAATCTAAGATCTTTTGGAATGTTCTTGGTGATGATGTTTTTGTGGACAAGTGAGAATCAGGTTTGCAAGCCAGCCATGGAACTTGCCAACGGCCATGAAACTTTCCGGCAAGGTGGTCCACCTTCAAGTAAATGGAGGCAAAGAAAAATGGAAAAAGAAAAAGATAAAAAATAAATTGACCATTTCGGAGATATGACGAGTTTAAAGAGCGTGGGAAACACACACTTTGCTATGTCAGCAAAATGTGTCTAATTAGAATATTTTTGGAGAGTTTAGATGTTTAATAGTACTAGCCCAAGTTCAAGTGTTCAATTGAAATATTGGACAAGTTTAGGGGTTGCTTATGTATTTGGCCCTTTTAACTATAAGAAAAAGGCAAAATACATAAGTTGTCCCTTGAACTATGGACCAAATCTCTCTTACGCACTTTCTGAGCATGAAAATCATCTTACTCACTCAACCTTTTCAGAGTGTCTCTAATACCCACCTCTTTTTTCTTGACCAGTTTATAAAAATATGTGTAATGTCACCCACCAATAAGATCATGACATGTGTCATTATTATTATTATTATTATTATTATTATTATTATTATTATTATTATTATTATTATTATTATTATTATTATTATTATTAAGAGAAAATATTTAAAATTACTCTTATATCCCCGATTTAAAAAGTCCTCCAACACCTGCATCTTCGTTTGCCCTTCGCCGTTGCAAACTCACCGGAAAAAAGCCATAACCATCACTTCTTAATCTTCACACAAATTTAATTTTACAATGATTCATCCATAACAAACCCAAGATCGAAAATGAAAGAGATAAAAACTAAAATTGCAACTCCTATGTTCTCAATTTCCCTCCTCCATATTCAGATCTCATACACAACCAAATAGAGCAAAATCAAAATCAATTTTTTCTTTTCATTAATTAAACAACTCCATTATGAATAAAAATCTCAAATCTTCCCTTATATGAAGGAAGCTGAGTTGGAAATTTTAGAATTTTGGTCATTCTCATGAAATACATTTTTTTAAAGGTAAAGATTGGATGTTTTAATGGATTTTAATGATAAAAAATATGCAAGAGAGAAGTTTAGAGGAGCAATCTTAAAGAAAATGTACAGCACCTTCTTTAAAAAATTTATCAGAGTTTTGGTTGATTATACTGTAAAAGAGACGATGGNCACTTTAAAAAGGTTAAGTGTGTAAGATGATTTTCGTGCTCAAAAAGTGTGTAAGAGGGATTTGGTCCATAATAACCTATGTATTTTGCCTAAAAAAACATCATCGTTAGTGATTGCCATGAGTAACGCAATAAAGTATTCATTATATACTAATAGCCAAAAAGAGGTATATTTTGCTGATTGTTGAACCTTTCATCGTTCTCTTTCCTTCCTGATGGAGAAAAATATTTCTTTCAAGTTTTACATTATATTTTGTTTCTTTTTTTTTTCTGGAGAAAAGAAAAAGGAAATTTTTTTTATTACAAAATCGTTGCAGTTATTGATTTTATATTAGTACTTCAAGCTTGTTTTTAATTAAAAACAAAAAGAACTTGAATACTTATTTATTCTACGCGAATATTTGTACACGTGTTTTTTGCTAACAAGCTTTAGTCAAAGTTTTAGTTATTGTATGTTAGTTTATCATATAATAATTATAATATATATATATATATATAAATCTTGTCTAATAAATTTAGAACTAAATAATAAACTGAAAGATTAAATAATTTGTATTTGAAACAATTTAGAATCAAATATGTTGCAATAATTAGTTCTTTATTTGTGTAACAATTTTAAGGGCATTTAAGACTTTTTAACAGAAAAAATTTTCTTATGAACACTTCCCTCTGATTATTAATTTTAGCACTTTTATCCAAATACATAACGGTGTATTTACAAAATCGACTTAAGCATTTAAAAGTATTTTTCAACACTCGATGCTCACTTTCGACCAGCTTAACAAAACAAGCTTTAGATGTTCTACTATACTATTGAAAATTAGTTATAGGTACCCTCTAATATATTATTTTTTTGCTTTCTACCATATCATTATCCATTTTAATATTTCTACCCCTATATCTAGTAGATTCATCCTTAAGGACACGTGGCAGCATTTTAAATCGCCTAACCATTTACCCTTTAACTCACCCGCCTGAATATCCTCCGAACCATATAATGGACTATCTCACTGCCATCCTCTTTATTTACCCGTAAAATAATACAATTGAATTTATAGCATGTTTTATAGATAAATGAATCGATTTGACCCAAAAGTAGCAAATACATAAGAACAAAAATAAAATTATGAAATGAAATTAAAGAAAATACGAGCTTAGCTATGAACCTAGCCTTTTCGGCAGCGAAAGTGAGAACAATACTCACGAACAAAGACTAAGACGAAAAATATAAATTGAGAGCATAATTTAGCCTTTTTTGTGTACAAAATATTTTTTTCTACAAATGATGTTAATTCCCTGATTTATAGCTTTATTTTGGAAGGCAAGATCCTCAAATCAAGCTCCTCTTGAATGTGAATAAAATCATCATTGATGGCCTCATAACGTTTGGCTATAAATGCAAATATCCTCTGTAACGGTTGCTCATTGAATGCTATACGATGTCAATATTCTGAACCTTTGTTAGCGATTACTCTGTATTTGAGATTC